TTTTAAACTCTTGTCAGTTCTGCTGGTAAATGGGAAATGTTTAAAACTCGTGATAAAAGTCTAGTCAGCCAACACAAGAAAAATTTGAAATTCTCTGAGTTAGTTATACAAAGCTGTCAATGCAATAAAACATATTTACTTTACTCTGTCCAAAGTCCTTGCATTTGTAAATTGCAAAATTAGAATACATTTTAAACTGCTTTGGGTCGGTCATGTGGCTGACTGGGTCTTCACTAAGGCTGTGTGGCCAATGAAATGCACTAACCCGACTACCACCCACAGCATCCTTTTTGCATGCAGCAACATTGTAAAAAAAAAATACAATGAACTGCATCAGTGACATTCCTCAATGTTTCGACTGGTCACTCAAAAACTTAACAAACATGTCACTAAGCAGTTTCAATTCAGCGTAGTAAAACCAAAACAAATATACAATTACTGTCGCCAATCACGACAAATGCAAACCATGAAACAATGAACCAACCACAACTCGGCAAACACATACAAATGTTTTCAAGTTTTGGGTTCACTGCTGAGAAACTAACATGTTTTGCTAATCAATTGCAGAGTACTGTCAAAGAAAACCTGAAATTCATTTCGAGACTCGGGTGAAAACCATTCTATACCTTAACCTGTCACTTCACTCTGTCCAAAGTCTATGCATTTCCAAATGCATTTCCTTTGCACATGGCAAGTAGTAAGACATGTTTAAACTGTTCTGGGGTTTTCATGTGGGAGACTGGAAATGTGATTTCCTTGCTGCAGGCTGCCACACGGGGAAAGCAGATTGTGTGATTAGGATTTCTTGTGAAGCAATCATGGTCGAAGAGGGCAGTGACATTCAGCGGCTCTCCATTTAAGGGGCGGTACTTTTGGCCTGTCAGCCACCCCAATACACCAGATGGTGTGGTGTCCATGGACTGAAATCGCTCCACTTCGCTACTTTCAGTGTTCGTGTCATTGAAGTCCTTCCATGCTACTGGCTCGGAATAGCCAGTTATTTGTTCATCTTCCAATGACATCAGAAAATCTTGTAGGTTGTCAATGACTGCCTCTTCAAGTGGTCGTTTTGACGAGCCCTGTTCCGAGTAGCTTGGATTGACAAGCGAAAAGACATAATTGGCATCTACCACCTGATTTGAACCTTTCACAAAAAGAGGCTTGCATAAAGAAGCATTGCCCCTAATGACATCATATGCACCATACAGCTTCAGACCTTCACAAAATTGTTTCATGTACAGCAAACGCTTGGTCATAATGCTTAGTTGCATTGTTCCAATGACATCCTCTTTGTGGTCATGATCAATGATGCCAGTGTATCCATGGTCAACAATTACATCACACAAAGCACCTTCAAATGTGTCACAAGCTCTTACTGCGTCGAATAGCTCTTTGTCCTTTGCAGTGAAATGCCTGTCAACATCTAGGTTGCCAATGTTCACATCAGGGTCCAACATCAACTGGTACACACTCTCATCCAAGAAAGATGGCGCTGGTCCTCCTTGAGCCAAAGACACTGCAATGATTTCCCCACAGGTTTTGGAACTTTTGTTATGAACATTGTACAGTGAATTTATGGGGGCTCCATCTGGAAACACTGCCATCCCCATATCATTAATCAACTGTGCCAGAAATTCTTGCGATAATGCACCGCTGTCTACACCATTCTCTCCACTATAGCGCACTCTTAGCACTTTTTCAGGAGACGATCTGTTGGCTTCTCTTTGCCACAGGGACAAAACTCTAGGAAATGGGGACCCTCTTCTAGAAACAATAAAAAACTGACCATCTTGGTCAACCTTTTGAGACAGGGACTTAATTACACTTGAAATATCTTGATGGATAGTACCCATTGACATGTTGTCATCTTTCCCATCCTCCATGTTCTCGACAGCGTCAATCATGTCAATGGATAACTCATTGTCAAACTCCCTTTGTAACTCAATTGCAATTTTCTCATCACTAGCAAACACAGCAGATGCATCAGGCTCTTCATCAGTTGTCAAGCTTTTCAGTCGCTTCTTCTCTGGCTCCTCAACCAGCTCATCAGTATCTCTATCTGATTCACTATTTAGGTCAAAGTGAAAGTCACTAAGCTTGCATAGGTACAACACAATTTTGTTGTAGTCCTTTCCAGTTTCTTCTTTGTATCGTTTGCGGGAAAAAAATCTCTTTACTGGCAGATGAACCTGGAAGAAACTGGGCTTCTTCACCATTTTCAAGTAGAAGAATGTAGTCTTCGTTCTCATCATAGAGGTCGCTGTTAAAGGCTCTCCACTTTTCCACAGCTTTCTGCAGGATGACTTTGTAGGTGGCTTTGTTGGACACTCTCAAAGCAAGACGCTTGCCTCTCTTTGGTTTGATACACACGTTCTTGTCACTCCATACCATGAGCCCAATGTTGATCTGCACTTCTATCTCTTTGTCACTTGCACTTCCAGCCTTTTTGCTTACAATGGATTTCCACTGTTGGCCTTTCAGTTTTTTGAACATATTGAAAGATTTCACGTGACAAGTTGAAGCGTGACAAGTTGAAGCGCATGATGTGGATGAATGGCCTAAGAGTAAAGATGACAATACTCATTACTCCCTAAGTGATTAATTGGAGGTAGCAAATGTGATATAGTGACAAAGAGAGTAATAATATTCACAAAGTTATAACATAAAATCTCTGGTCCTCTAAAATTCAGACTTGTGACAATTTTATCCTGGTTACAGCATCTGATGATTCATACAGTAGCACTTGGCAACTGTTGTGTAGCATGAAGTGACAAGAAGCATCACCATAATTCAGCATTTTGTTAGGTTTACCACTCACCATTGCTCATTGGTCATTGGTCATTTAGAGCATTGTATATATGGTGTGACTGATTGTGTGACTGAGAATAATTTGTGCATAACAAGGGATCATGAGTTGTGTTAATTGTATTTCAGTGTAAACAAATTACCGGTACTGGTAGTGTGTTTTTAACATTACCCATGGCTGGTTATTACAATCGGTATTATGAAAAAATTATGGCTAATTATACACAATATAAATAACTTACCCGTTGCACGCAGTTCATTAGATTGCTCTTGGGAAGAATGAGCTAATGGAAAAAAAATTATTAAGAAAATATTAAGTCTAAAAGATCACTATAAAAGTTCCAGTATTCCTTCATTACAAAAGAATGTGCATTTCCAGAAAATAACCATACCCCCCCCCCGGAAGGTTTTTGTTTTGCACCCCCCCCCAGGAAATTCCACTTTAGCATCATACTTTTCTTCTAAAATTTTGGGGCTTAAAACCCCCCTCCCCCTAGGAATATCCGAGACCTTCAATGGGGTGGTTATGGATTTTTCTGGAACTGTACAATATATTATTTTATAATTTGATCAATCATATACATCTAAGTCTACTGCATCTAACAGGAATTCAAATCAGCAAATCAATCAATTACAATAGCAATAATTACTATAAAAATGTTCAGTGCAATTGTACCTGAATTTCCTGGAGTTGTGGCAGTGCTGCACCGACCTAGAATAATTTTATGCAATAAACACATAGTTACAAACAAAGATAATGCAATAGCCCATTGATAGGATAGGACAAAGCTCTTAAAAGCTTGTGATTTATTGGTTTTGCATTACACTGTTCACAGTCCTCTATTTTCCCGTAAGATTGTCGCGAATGTTACGAGCGGCCGTCTCCCACCCCCACCCCCACCCTTCCTGACGCCCGTCCCTAAGTGTTTAGAGGACGCGTTCGCCTAAAAAACAAGATGGCGGCTACTCGTATAAACAATTGCAATCGCGACGATCTTACAGGAAAATAGAGGACTGTGAACAGTCTATGCCCCCATTGAAATGACCTCTAATGTGTATCAAAATTGTGACTTGTGCAATCCTCTATTATAAAAATCGCATCTGCATGGTTGCGCTTTTAAACATAAGGATACATTTCATTTATATTTTCATTCCACGACTATCCCCTATCCAAAGTGAGTCAACACAGTGCTCGACTTTCAGAAAAAAAATCTTGGGGCCAGCTGGCCCCCAAGTTTTCATTTTTTGTCGCCAGAACAAGTATTCTGGTTGCCAAAAATTATATTTAAGAATTAATGGATTTAGTTGTGTGAAGGATAACGGATTATCGTTAGTGTACGTTTTCCCAAAGAAGATAGTCACCTATCTTGGGGGCCAGGTTGGCGACCAGGGGTGAAAATTTGGTCGCCACTGAGTAAAAGCTGGGCGCATTGGCGACCCCACGGGTCGCAACGTCGAGCCCTGCAACAGACGAGGGAATCACCGCTGTATAGGTGTAGCTGCTTAAGTCTGTAAATTACGGTATGAAAGGCTTGTATACACTTACCTGCACCACACTTGGAGCAAAAATTGTCCCCTTCTTCCAACGCACATCCACAGCTCGAGCAGAACATGGCGGGAGCGGGAAGAACTCCAGGGAAGAAGAATAAGAAGAAGAGGATACCGGGATTGGTACCAGGATACCTTGCAGTCACTTGACTGCTCGTACCCAGGCGTCGCTCGTTACTTGAATTCGGTGTGAGTTTATTCGAATTCGGTGTGAGTTATTCGAATTCGGTGTGAGTTTATTCGAATTCGGTGTGAGTTTATTCGAATTCGGTGTGAGTTATTTGAATTCGGTGTGACTTATTTGAATTCGGTGTGACTTATTTGAATTCGGTGTGAGTTATTTGAATTCGGTGTGACTTATTTGAATTCGGTGTGACTTATTTGAATTCGGTGTGACTTATTTGAATTCGGTGTGACTTATTTGAGTTCGGTGTGACTTATTTGAATTTGGTGTGACTTTCGGTGTGAGTTATTTGAATTCGGTGTGAGTTATTTGAATTCGGTGTGACTTTCTGGAATTCGGTGTGCACTTGTGGGCCACCGTAAAATCCAGTGTCTGCTCACCCCCACTACAGGAACATGAGGCCATTGTCAGCAATGTTATTGAACTATCTTCCCACGGTGGCCAACGCCTGCAATTCAATACCATGGTGACTTTGTCGCTCTCTCACAGCGCACCGGAACTACGGGGCTACGAAGTGGTAATAAAACGGCAGATTAACAAGGAGACCAATGAATGGGAAGACGTGAGTGGAACCAAGGACTTACGCTGTCGCCAAGGTAATGTGGTCAGGGACTTAAGGCAACTATAGAGAACCGTTTGGCAGACCCTGTTTCCCTAAGCGGGAGGCGGTGTTCGTCATCCGTATTGCTGAAGGGTTTGTTTTGTTTTTAGTTTTTTTGAGATAGTGTTCATATCAAGAATTGCAGTTGCGATTGCGCTCTCGATCTGAATCTTGTTTCCAGTCTTGATTTCTATGACGTCAGTCTTTTTTACATTGCAAAGGAAGTAAAAAAGGGCATAATTATTATGATAGTTTTACTTGTATTTTTTGTCGGTAACAGACATCGAAGATGGGCGCCCTTCTCACAAGGATATACCAGACCTTTTATTCCCCGTTGCTCAAGCTGACATAAATGAGTGCTCAACATATGCAGTGGTTTACCGTCTCAAATCTTCTCCGCCTTACACCATCACATCTACTGGCGGTTTATTCATTCATCCTGATTATCCAGGCGTGACGGTGACAATCCCCGAGAATGCTGTTGCACCCGAGTCACCGTTTACCCTGGAGTTCAAGGTTGGTGCATGTGATTCAAAAGGTCCATTTATAAAGAAAGTATCATCAAAAAGGCTTTTTAAAGTGATACGGTTTTTTTAAAAAATGACGATCTAATTATGACCAGTCTAGAGGGCTTGACTGAAAAATCGTTTACTGAATATTTGTAGAGATCTTTTTGTTACTTAAATTACGTTATCTTTTTATTTATCGTATGGGGAATTCACGTCAATTTTAAAGCCTAAAGAATACATGAAATTAACTGCTGATGATTACTCTTTTAAATGGTACAGGTGCAAGAAGTTCCAAATGAAGAATTTAAAGGGGAAGATGTATTTCTTGGACCTATTCTGCGAATTAAATTCCTTGGGGTTATCCAGTTCTTTAGACCTGTTACTATTCAGCTACCAGTTTCTCTTCGAGATCGACAGGACTTTAAACCAGATCCCACTAAATGCCGTGTGAGAGTGTTGTTCCTGAATCGCGAGGAGGAAAAAAAGGAATGAGTTGAACTCACTGATCTAGTGAAACCTACACAGTTTGACGGGAGTTTTGTTAGGATCCAGGTCCAACGATTTTCTAGGTAAAGAAGCTTAAGAAATCATTTAGTTATTTAGAATAGATGGACGTTTTTAAAAGCAACTGTTTAACAGATTCAACAATGGTAAGTGTTAGTTCAACTTCATTCAACATTGTTGGACGCAGCAGGTTAGATGTGTTTTATGGTGTTGGATGCTGTTGGATGAAGTTTGAGTTCGCCTGTCCACAGACGTTTTCTTCCTTCCCCACCTCCACCCCAAACCCCTGGCGCTTGAACACAATAAATTCCCCTGCTGTTTTTATTTCCATATGTGAGCTCGACGATCTACAAAAAGAAAATCGATGGTCTGTGTACAGGCTCGGTTTGCGTGAGTTAAACCTGTATACTGGTATGCGATGGACCATGTCGCAACATGGATTAAACAAAGGCTTTTTTAGTTTCCCATTTTCGAAAAATAATAAGCTCAGAACTTAAACTCCCCATGCGACATATTGGACAGTTTTAGGTTTAGGTTTTTGGATTTGTTTGGAAGCTCAGTTTAATAAGGAGTGGGTGTTTAGGTATTCCGTAAAATGCATCCAGGAAGTTACCAAAAATGACAATTTTTCTTTAAAATTTTATTTTTCATGCTGTATCCCACTCAGGATAGATATTTTTCAGGTGGTTTGCACAAAATTGAAACTCCAAAAATATTCTCCAAGTCTTCTCACTCTAGTTGTGGAAAAGAGGTTGACGGCTCATGAACGAAGTGCTTACTGGCTTTCTTTTCACTCAACACGTTAAGATAAGCTCTTACTAGTTTCTCTTTAAAAAAGTACTGGCACTCCCTATCAGACGGCGATTACGTAGCACTCTGCTCAAATTTTATGTGTGCCATTTCAAGGCTCATAGCAACTCCCTTCAATCTGGCTCTCACTCTTTAATATTTGATTCACTAACCAGATATTCCTATCTTCTCGACTGGCGTCAAGAAAACTCCAGTGTCGAAAGACTTGGAATTATTGGTTACATGACCCGATTGATAAGGAAACCGCGGAGACCAGCAAGTTTCTTCGCTTACTTTCGTCCGGATTTTCCTGAAATTTTGCGCCTTATTTGTTGTCATACACAACTTACTCATGCGGTGATACAGGATCTTGAAAATAGAGACGTGATATATGCTGATGGCAGTTCGAAGCAAGATATGATACCAGGAGAGGACAAGGCATTTGTTTTTGTATCAGGAGGAATATGTCCATTCGATGATGAGGACGTGGATGATGTTTACCTCAGGTAAGCTTGTTTTACACATCACATGCCCATGCAAGAACAAGGCCAGGAGCGCATCCCATCTTTCAAGCTACACAAATTCTTCTCCCCCCACCCCCACCACAGTAGAACCGCTTTGTAATTGAATAATCATGTGAATCGGTGGTTAAGTATCCTTTTGACTTTGGCAGGAAGTTACTTGAAGATTTTCATTTTTTATACCACATGTAACGTCTCTCAACTTTCAACGAAGTAACCGGCCTCATGCTCTCATGCTACAGGCAACCGTAGGACGCCGGTAGGGAGTAAAAATGTTTCCGGCATGTTTTTTACCTATCTTGTTGATTCCGAATTCATCCCAGTCGCCAAAATTAAAAAATGAAATGCAAATTGAATAAGTAAGGCCTTTGTCTTCATTATTTATTAAGCTTACTCTAAGAGAACCGTTATTACGGCATGAATGTTTTTGGTTTACATTTGAACAGGCTATTAGAAGACGAGTTCAAGACTGAATTGCGAGTTCGTGTTGTTAAATACGAAGACCCAGCAAAAATAGAGTTCCATAACACCTTGACAACTACAGGAAGAAAGAGTCTGTTGTGTAAATTTCACTTGCCCATCCAGAACGTTCCACTTGCGGTTAGTAGATTTAGATTTCACATTATTAAGTTGTATACATTGATGTCATATCACTTTTTCATTTTTGTCAGCATTAAACCCTCTTAAAATGTATAAAGTTGCAATGAAAAGCCTCTGACAATGAGCATTATCGAGGCCTTTTAGTGACGTTTTGAGACCGAGAATATTAGTGGGAAAAATAGAACATTAGGGTGGAGTATTTTAGTGGGGAAACAAAAGGATTTTTAGCGCAACACAGCATTTCAACATTGTTTCGAATGGTTGCAAAATTGTTCCAACATTCCAACGCTTTGTTGCGCTAAAAATTGTCGTTGCGAATCGTCCCGTGTAACATCGCCCTTAGAGGTTAAGGTTAGGGTTTTGGTTTTCGTTTGCTCTAGGGTTAGGGTCAGGTGACTCATATACGCTTAATTCTCGCCGTATTCCCTGGGTACTTTGAAGGTGTTTAGTTAACTCGTATACCTTATGTCTCAGCATTACTAGTTCGTTTGCTAAGGAAAACCTCCAGGTAGATACTCCTGATAATAGAATTATTTGACCGTGACTGGTAATCCAGGTGCATGTACGCTGAAAGTCTCTACCTTTTATGCCTTTTCAGGCCCGTCACGGTTTGATGGAGCTTGCGCAACAACCTGGTAAGTTTTTGTTTCTTATTTCCACTTATTTCCTTAAAGTTCATTTCGACAAGGCATTGTCCATCCTCAATAATTAAGGTCTATAAGGTCGGCTTGTCTTAGCCAAAAGTTCAGAGCTCGGTCCTTCGCGTATTGAAGCCTCTAAACTGAAAACATTTAAGTCTGGAACTTTGTTGAATTAAGCTGCATTAGGCTGTATAGAAGAACATCACACTGCTCTAAGGCAAGAAAACCAGCCTGGATAACGTCAATTATTTTAAGATTGCGGTGTTTAAAAGCTCACTTCCATTCTGTGTGACTTTGGCATTATCAAAAGTCAGTTGTAAGCTTACATGCAAACTCGTTTACCAAGTTACTTAACAGTGACTTAAGAAGGTCTTGATAAGCTACACAGTCAATTTTTGTACCAATAGGTGGTCAGTGAAGTCTTAGGCCTAGGCGAGACGTTGAACTTTTCATGAGACTAACCAGGCTCTAATTGGGTCGTTCACAATAAGTTAAGATCGTCTGTTGGGTCAGACTTCGAACTTCGGACGTGTCCCACCAATCAACTGAATCAGATCAGTAACAATTTTTCTCCCAAACGAGGCTAAATATGCATTATCATACAATTGTTAATTTATTAGCTTACTTTGTCGCGTGCATGTGAAGGTCGACGTTTGTCCCGGAGACGATCTTCAGACGTTCTATCCGTCTGATGGTGTTGGACGATCCAAACTCATTCAGACGAACTCAAATGAACCAGACGTCGATCTTTTCATACACTTAACTCACTGAGTTCGTTCGTCTCATGAAAGGTTGGTCATTTGGTTTAAGCCTTAGTAGTTGAGACTTTGAAGTCCACCAACCGTGAAAGAGGCTTGTAATGCACGAATCACTGACAGCCACAGCGCTACAAATAATCACGCCTGCAAGCCTCTGTGCACAGCCAATCATTACCATGTACTGTCTGATGAAGAGCAAAGGTAGAACGTGAAAAGGCTGAGTAGGTTTTATATGCAAAAACACCAATAGCTTCCTGTCAATTTTGAACTGCGGAGTGAAGAAATCACTGCCCTTCCGAGGAGATCATCACAATTAAATACGCAACTTATACTGCTGCGAAAAGAAAGCCTAGAAAAAAAAGGCTTGCTGGGATTCAAACCCTAACCTTGCCTTCTTCTCTCGCCCCTTCCCCCATAGTTTTCTTTTCCGTCCTCGGTTCAGCTTTCGCGCGGCTGAATCTCTTTCTTTCAAAACCACGAAATAAAACACACCAAAAATACCGCCAGCTACGCAGGCTATCGAACTTGGTCCTCTTATGAATTCCTACCGCCCTTAGTTTGGCCATGTATTAAATTTGATCTGGATGTCTCATTCATGTGCATAGTTTATTCCGTCGGTCTGAAGATGGAGGATGCATCACTTAGTATCTCCATCGACTATTTCAGTCCATGATCTCCGTCGCGAATTTTAAGTAGAATTTTTCCTTTCACAGAGATCAAAGATGGCACTCCAACACAAGATGAATTGGAAGGTCTGTCAAGAAAAATCAGTGACAAGTGGAAAAAGCTTGGGCGTCGGCTTCAGTTCGATGAAGCACAGATTACAGACCACGACAAAAAAGATAATGAACTTTCTGAAAAAGCATACTATTTGCTGATGGCTTGGAAATCTAGGGACGCCTCAAATGCAACTTACCGTGTTTTGCACAAAGCACTGTCTGACGTAGAACGTAGAGATTTAGCCCAAGAGTTTTGTTGTCAGTGAAAAAGGTATTATACCATTTTCTTTGCATAATAGAACTACTGCAGCGTGATATCGAAAAGTTAGAAGAGAGCTCTTAAAAGTTTGCAATGGTACTTGCCCTTGGATGCCTTGACCTGGAATTGCACTCTCATTCCGTGCTCTGTGGTCTTTTACTGAATCTACTTATCATCAGTGAAGGCCGAAAAAAAATAGCCTGATCGCCAAGTCATTTAAATAAAGAGCTTTAGTTTTCATACGTACTGTTCGTACATGCTCACTAGAAGCCACACGGGAAAACATCCTGCAGCGAGAAGCAAGCAACGAAGCCGCTAACCTGAGTTTCAGGCTGGTATAGGAGAGAGGGATTTGAAAAGACGATCGGGGAGACAGGGGCGGGAAAGGAGGAACAACTGCATGTCCGAAAAAGGTTGTTGATTGGATAATATAAATCAAGCTGTTTGTAGGTGGAAGAGTCCAGTTAAAGTGTATTCGCTAGAACTTTCTTCCCTTTACTCGCTTCCTCTTTGGCTCTTTTCTTCTCTTGGCTGAAACACCATCAAAATCTGGGTGGGGTGACAGGGGGAAGAAAAATGGAGGAGGCTGCAGTGGTTTCATCACTGACTTGGCTTTTCATTTTGTTCAACCATACTGTTATGTGCCATTAGTTGTGCAATCAAACTTACACACTCTTGTTGTATTTTCGTTTACAGAGGAGTTTTAACACTATTTTCCGACTTAAGCAGAAAGAACTGGAAAAAACTGAACAGACCAGCAAGACTGAGCAATGAATTTGAATCCTATCGCTCTTGTAAAAGGACTTGGTGGTTTTGACGGTGGAGGATAAAGAGACTGTGTGTTTACTCCGCTTTCAGAACATCTGACCTCATCAAAGCACGAAGACCTGAGGAAGTCGGCGTCATAAAATATTTTGAAGACAATGACTCGCTGGTTAGTGAAGTAAGTTAGTGATCTCAGTTCTTGACACTAGGAATTCAAGGCTTTAAACCTTAGTAGTGAAAGAATTGTTTTCACTGTGATGTTTTTGTTGGTGACGCCGTCGTTATTCTGTAAACTGATCTCTTGTGTTTCCTGGTGCGGAATCATAGATAGAACTCAGACTTAATAAGATTCAATCAGAGAGCTTTAAGCAACAAGGACGGCGACGGCTACGAAAACGTCACTGAAAAAGTAAAGTCGCGCTTCCTCAAACTTTATCGCGCTTATTCCATCTCGTTGAATTTGTCAAATGTTGGCAGTTTTTTTAGAGTTGATTTCTAAAGGTTTGTATCAAAGTTCAGGAAAAGAAAAAGAAATTTGTTGTTGTGTTTTCCCGTCCTCGACAAAACGTGAAATTAGGCACTTTCACGTTGTAGTCGGGCAAAGACGGCAAAAAATCTACAAAAAAGCGCGATGCACGTGCAAAGTTGTTTTGCTAATATAATCCTATTGCTTTTTTGCCGTTCTCGTTGCCGTCGCCGTCGTCGTTCCTTAAGCTCCCTAATAGGAACTTTACGATCTGACGACGCGACTGCAGCGAAAAAGGCGTCGCTTCAAAAATGAATTTGCGTTCTTGCTGTCTTTATCGCGATCATTCCAACTCACTTCCTTTTTCAAATGTAGGTGAACCCTCCCGGAGTTGAATTTCTAAGAACCATATTTTATTTTTGAAAGAGAATGAAATTTCGTCGTCGCTTGTTTACGTCATCCCTAAAAAGTAAAATCAGGCACTTTCACGTCGTAGTCGGCAAAAACGGCAAAGAATTCGAAATGTACAAAAATGTGAAATGCACGCGCAAAGCTGTTGTTTTGTCTACTAAACCTATTGTTATTTTTGATGTTCTAGTTGCCGTCGCGTCGTCGGATCGTAACAAGGACGCGGTCAATGTCGCGAGTAAAAGTGTTCTGTTGGCTGCTGACGTCATAGAGTTTGCGATATTAGGCAGCTCAAGCAACGACGACGGGGATACGGCAATGAAAGTGGCAAAAAAAGCATTAGGTTTAGATTAGCAAAACAACAACTTTACACGTGTATCACGGTTTTTTGTACATTTCGTTGCCGTTGTTCCACGACTGCAACGAGAAACCGTTTAGTTTCACTTTTTATAGAGGACGTGAACACAAGACCTTAAATACAGTCTTAGATACAGTCGTTTAGAATGAATTCGTGAAAAATTCCCCAACATTTAACAAATTGGATGAAGTGGGATAAGATTAATAAAGTTTGAAAAACCGCGAATTCACTTTTTAACTGACGTTTTCGCTGAACGTTTTTCTGAATCTAAACGCCTGGAACAGGCTAGCGAGTAGTTAGCCAGCTGTTTACAGACGTGAGCCGTGCTTTGTAGGAAAAAACATCTAGCTATTATTATAAAAGTGTGCTTAAATTACTGCCCGTATAGCCCGCGAAAACAGCCGTTTCTCCTCGCGTAATAAGCACCACTTCAGACGTGCACCTCGTGAGAGAGCAAAATGAGCAGTTGTTTTTTTCAGTAACATAGTTACCTTGTGTTTCAGCCTGATGGGGGAGAGATCATCCATTTTGATGATGGATTTTCATCTTGGAATGCGTACCTCACAAGCTTCGTGACAGATAATACATGGGATGATCACGTGATTCTGGATGGTGCTGCAAACCGCTTTGAAATATGCACCCACATGATCAACAGTCCGCCACGTCATTATGGTCAACAGTAACAGGCTTGAGGTGGGACACGCGCACGAGCTTCACGTTAATAAAAACAATTACCCCTCGTGTAAGAAATAATAAGCAAACTGCGGTTACAAACATGTGGAAAACCGCCGTTGCTGGAAAAACTTGTATTCCTTAATTTGACGTTTTGTATGCTACAACATACATATTCAGAAGTAATTCTGAATTAAAATCACAACAACACCTTAAATATTTGAGTAAGGCTGTCAGCTGCTGCCCATTTCTGTGCTCAGTAGGTTGGAGTGTTTTTGCAAATTACTGTACATGTGATCCTAGTCATAGTTTTTTGATTACCGTCAGCGATTCTTTTCAAACTAGGTGATAAATTCAGGTGTGAATTTAGGTAATTAATTTGTCGCACAGATAGTTTAACTGAGATGCCAAGTTTATTGTAAGTGATGCTGTCTGCTTAAGTTAATTTAGCTACTGAGTTAACTTGGGGAGCTTTTCATTTGTCAGATTTGATTAGCCAGACCATTCCTGTTGTCATGAGAAATTCACTTTTTATTAAAACTTTCCAGCCAGATCAGTCAAATCCTAAGTAGCTAGTACGTGCAAGAAAGAGATGGTCTTCAGAAAGAACCCTTTGTCAAATGGAAATGACTGGTTTGTCCATGGTCCACCTGGCCAGTTCTGACTTTTGGAAAGCGCCCCTATTTCCGCAAGTAGGTGATCACAAAAGTAGTTACCTGCACAGTTAAGTTCTTTGTTAGTTTTTTAGTGCTGTTTCAGTTTTTTTTTCCAGTAAGTTATTCCCTTACTCAGTTCTTGAATTCTTCAGTCATTTATAACAGTTTATCTGTCATTCAGTTAGTCTTCCAGTCAGTCCCACAGTCTTTCAGTCAGTCAGTCGGTCGGTTAGTTAATAGTTTAGTCCAACAGGTCATCGATCAGTCTTCCAGTAAGTTAGTTAGTCATCCAATCTTTTAATCAGTTAGTCAGTACGTTATTCGATTATTTAGTCATTCACTCATTTAGTTTGTCAGTAAGTCCTTCGATTAATTTGTCAGTCAGGCAGTTAGTGAGTCAGTTAGTCATCCAAACATTTAGTATGTTTGCCAGTACGTCATTCGATTAGTTAGTCAGTCAGACGGTCAGTTAGTAAGTCAGTCAGTCATCCAAACAATAAGTCATTTAGCCACTAAGTCATTCGATTAGTTAGTCTGTCAGTCAGTCATCCAAACAATTAGTCAGTTAGTCAGTAAGTCGTTCGATTAGTCAGTCAGTCAGTCATTCAGTCAGTTAGCCAGTCAGTCCGTTAGATGGTCAGGAAGTAATTTGATTAGTTTGTCAGTCAATCAGTAAGTTATTAAGTCAGTCAGTGATCCAAATAATTAGTCATTTAGCCAGTAAGTCATTCGATTAGTTAGTCAGTCAGTCAGTCAGTCACTTAGTAAGTCAGTCAGTCATCTAAACAATTAGTCATTTAGCTGGTAAGTCATTCGATTAGTTAGTAAGTTAGTCACTTAGTCAGTTGGTCATCTAGTCAGTCAGTCAGCAAGTCATTCATTCAGTCACTCAGTAGGTCATATATTTAGTCAGTCATTTAGTCATTCAGTCGTCCAGTCAGTAAATCACGATCATTCAGTTATCCAGTCAGCTAGTCATTCAGTCAGGTTAGTCATTCAATCAGTCAGTCAGTCAGTTAATTATTCATTCCGTCAGTCATTTAGTTATTTAGTCATTTATTTGAGTCATTCTGTGAATAAGTAAGTCATAAATCGATCAGTTGGGTTGTCCTTCCGTCCGGCTAGTTGGTCTGTTCGTCAGTCATCCGCTTAGTAAGTTAGTGTTTCATTAAATAAGTAATAATGGCCTTTCTGTGATAATAATAATAATAATAATAATAATAATAATAATAATAATAATAATAATAATAATAATAATAAATAAATAATAACAATAATAAAAATAGTGTAAATGCTGATAATAACTTTATTCAAGTTACAACGTATTCAGCTTTACTCCTAATATGTGACACTGGTAAAATATTTTTTGGCCATGTCGACACTCGCTGTAAGGGAGAGTTTTTCATGTTGACATGAAAAGCTATCCAGTATAGTATGAACACCTGTTTTCACTGCACCAAACTGTGGCACAGAAACCTGTCCGATATCAGTGTAACCAACCTCGCAGTGTCAGAGCGGGGAACTTAGCACCGGAAGTAGTCACGAGCATCACGCAACATCGCGCCATGGCATGGTGGACGTTACATCACTTTTTATGTCGCTTTTTTTAGTTCCAGATCCAAGTCAAACCAAAATATTGGGCAAATTTATTGAAATTTAACCGCGGCAGGATTAGCTCAGTCGGTAGAGCGCTTGCCTGCAGAGCTGGAGGTCGTGGGTTCTATTCCCGAGGCCGGTCCAATACTCAGGGTCTTAAAATAACTGAGAAATGAAGATACTTCCTTTGCCCTGCAGGCGGCTGGACCTTCGCGTGGCTCGGATGACCACGTAAAATGGCGGTCCCGTCTCCGTTAGGAGACGTAAATATAGTGTCCCCAATTAGCACTTTCGTGCTAAATACATTGACACTCAAATAAAGAGCATTTTTTTAAAAAATATATTTCGTTTTGTTTTGAGTACCATTTTGTTTACTTGCTTGTCGCTTTGCCGTAAGGATCAGTTTGTCCTCTCCACTGATGTTGCACTAATGGTGTTAATTTACTGATCCAGGTCTAGCCTGCGAGCAAGCTGTCTGGGGCGCTCTGGTGGCGGGACGGGAAAAGGAAGGAAAGCTTGCAACTGCTTCTCTGGAATTTGAATTCTAATTTCAATTTCCAGGTGGCTCCACGACGTCTGAGCTGTCAGATTTCCGCCAATCAGTGCGAAGTGGAAACAAGCGCGAATGTGAAAATAAATAGAAAAATCCGTGCCAAGGGTAATGACGTTATTACTAATGCCATCTCCGCCAATCAGCATTTCACATCGACGTTTTCGATGCAGATATTCAAATTCCAGAGAAGTACCTGTAGTTGCAAGCACTCCTTCCTTTCTCCGCCCCGCCGCCAGAGCGCCCCGGACGGAGAACTTACTCGCAGGCTTATCCAGGTCTACCACTGAGAGGTCAATTCCTGCACCACTCATTCAGAGTTGTTTGTCGTTATGGTCGTGCTGCT